AGAGTAAAAAATGTCTACCATTCAATTTGAGGGAGAGTGTGGAAATTTAAGTTAAACACACAAATATAGAGGGTTTTATGAGTTTTTCTTATGAGGCCCTCGTTGAGTGTTCACCAAGATCCTTATAATTATTTTTTTAATATTTATTTATTTCATCTTTTAGGCAATTTAATTTGTAATAATAAGGTAATAGAGCAAATAAGACGTAAGTATGAACAGAAAAAGGGCACTACATCAAGGCACCTATTATCAATTTGGGTATAAGAATGAATGTAACCTTATGGGTTAGGAATTGGTTTGAGCCTAATACCCGTCTACTACAAAGGAAAGCATTTGTAACAACCACAAAGGAGGAAATCCAATAAATCAAAGATATGTCTACATCACTCCCTGCCATAGCAACAACCTAACAACAAATCCTTAAAAGTAAGATCTAGGAAATGATTATGAAACACATACCATCAATATCAAAGTATTTCCAGGAATAGAATTTGAATGATTTGCATCTTTTCATTTTTGTTTCAGTCAATCAACACTTATCATTTAATAACAATAATCTAGTGCACAATGCTTAGTAAAACCTAATGAATGGGCATGATAGGGAATTCCACATAAATTATTTTTCTTCAAAAACACCAACAACACAACTGGAATACATAAACATAAGCACTACAATTTGAGAGATAGGTGATCTCTCTTAAACCTTAACCCTACCACCTGAAATTCGATAGAGAGGCGATATCTCCCAAACCCTAACCCTAAGACTCAAGACAACAATCTTATGCATAACCCCAAAACTTAAACATATTAGCCATATTTATACCTCACAATAATAATAATAAAATACTAAATTGCGCTTAGGCTAATAAAAGATAAAAATTGTCTTTAGGTGTCGATCTAACATTACTCCCCTCGCAAAAAAACACCTTATCCTCAAATTGAAAAAAAAAAGAAAATGTTGCTGGATCAAGTCATATAACTCCCACTCATAAACTGACATGAGTCTAGATCTTGCTTTCAGCACTTGATTGAGATAAGTGATGGATTGACACCACATGAGGATTTCGCCTAATCCATGACCTGAAGCATCTGTCTCTACAATGAAAGATTGGTTGATATCAGGTAAAGTCAGCATTGCTACAATCTTCATGTCCTTCTTTAACTTCTCAAAAGTTTGGGTTGATATTTTCCCCACAGAAACTCATCCTTCTTCAATCTCTCATCAACGACCATATCATTAAATTATAGCCCTTCATGAACTTCTAGTAGTATCCTCTAAGTCCCAGATATCTTTTCAACCACTTGAAGGTTTTAGGTAGTGGCCACTCCCACATAACTGTCACCTTTGATAAAATCGTCCACAACAAAATTTTGCATAAATTAGGGTTACCGCAAAACACCACTATGGTATTATTATCTCCCTTTTGAAATTCCATGGTCGATAGTTTCCAATTCTTCTTTGTCTCCCTTAAGGATTATAACCATTTCATATCCAATATCATATCAGTGCTCTCGAAATCTAAGGAGAAAAAATATTCTATCAATTGAATGACTAGCAATGTCAAAAGTACTCCTTTATAAACTCCCCTATTCTTCTCCACACATCTCATCCCTATCATTACTCCAAAACTTCCCGTGTTGGCCATCTCAAGCTCCATTGCTTCACTACTTGATTAGAGATGAAGTTGTGAGTGGCTCCACTATCTATCAACATAACTACTTCATGTTCTTTGATCTACCCCAAAAGTTTCATAGTGTGGCTCGGTTTTAAGCCCACCACTGAGTTCAACAAGTTATCTGCCACATCCAAGAGAGGGTATTCCTCCTCCACCACAGCCTTCTATGTTCTTGCATCCCCTGCCTCTTCATCACACACTGTAAGAATTTGTATTGTTCGATAATTACAATGGTGTCATGAGACAAAATTCTCATCACACTGAAAATATAACCCTTTGGCTCAATTCTCTTGAATCTCTATCTCTATGAGTTCGAGTGTCGTCCAAGATCATGGCTCCTTATTTCTATCCCGTGGAGCCTCCTTCTAGACTTCCACCATTTATGCATTGGTATGGTTGTGGTTGTAGCAGTTTAGTATGACGCTCCACTTACGTTGCTCTTATTTGCTCGTTCCATTGCATTTTTATCTTCAACCAGCTGCGCTAAGTCAATATTTTCCCACAATCCTCACAGTCCCGACAAACAAAATGATGCTCAAATCTTCAGCTTCAACCCTTTTATGAAGTTGCATTCCAACACTTCATCTGAGATCCCGCACAAACGACTGAATAACATCTCAAATTTCTCTTTATAGTCCATAACAGGCCCTTCTTAGACCAATACAAAAAACTGCTCGTGTAAATCCCCTTCGTGAGTGGTTTTCAAAAGCTAACAATCGGTCCTTGAACTCTTCTAATATTGTGATTGACTGACGTTATTCTCTCCATTGATATCACGCCAGAGCCTTCCCTTCCAAACACAGGGTCGTCGCCATCATTTTTTTTCCTTTGTAAACCCATTAAGAACAAGGTATATCTCCCTGATTTTTGTTATCATTTCTTTCAATGTCGTGAATCTACCCTCCACGGATGAGAAACACTCATTCATTCCTAATTTGATTTGGCTCATCTCTTTCCCTTTCCCTAATTTCTTCTTCAAATCATCTATGTTTTTTATCCTCATTACTCTCAAGAAAATTTTCTATCACAAAGGTAGATCTCGTAAGTCGTCGTCCGTCCGAATCTCGTTAGTACCAAATCATGTATCTATGTCATTGCTTCCCAGCTAGCTCAATCTGTGTGTGATCCCATCATTGTTTCCCAACTAGCTCGATCGAATGTAGTCCTTTCTCACTTCCCAGCTAGCTCTTATCGTGACTATATCACGAGATTGAGTACACCGCGCTCCCGTGGTTTGCTTCCTAGCTAGCTCTAATCATGGTTGTTTCACAAGGTTAGGTCATGCGTATGTCGTAATCCCCCCCCCCCCCCCCCCCCGTACACCATAATCGGTAGGTCACAAAGAATGTTGTGATCCCGTCCCCCTATACACCACGATCTGTCATCTGCTTTTAGTTTGAATTAGGCAGCAGAGTATGGTGAAAAGGATCAGTGCTTTGAAACAAATTTGTAGAAAACTTCATAGAAATTAGAGCAAAACGAATTATCTTTCTTCGCCAACAACACAACTGGAATACATAAAGGTAAGCACCCAGAATTCAAGAGGTGAGCAACCTCTCTCAAACCTTAACCTTAACACCTATAATCAATTTGATAAGAAACTATGTAGAAAAGAGGGCAAAACAAATTATTTTTTTTCAATAACGCCAACAACAAAATTGGAATACATAAAGATAAGCACCAACAATTTGAGAGGTAGGCAATCTCTCCCAAACCTTAACCCTAACACCTACAATTTGAGGGGTAAGCAATATCTCTCAAACCCAAACCCTAAGACTCAAGACAACAATCTCATGCATAACCCCAAACCCTAAACATATTAGCCCTATTTATACCTCAAAATAATAATAATAAATACTAAATTACCCTTAGCTAATAAAAGACAAAATTTTCCTTAGTTGTCGATCTAACAGAGCTCTATTGGCTTTCCACTAGCCTACAAACAAAAAAAGGGTAAAGTAAAGTCAATCGTCACTTGTTGATCGAGGGATTTGAACACATAATGAAACTAAAAATCCCAATATAAATATTATATGGGACATTTAGAGGAATTTGGACCTTTGGTAAAACCTAATCATCAGGAAAGAGCAACATGAGCTAACACCTCGATTTAGAAAGCCTTTCTTATTCCATTTTATAAACTACGAGCTAAATAAATAAAAGAAGGAGAAGATATTCAACTTAAAGTTCATTTTCTCCATCCCTCCCTCCCTCCCTCCCCATCTCGCTCCTGCTCCCTCTTTGTCTCTCTCTCACCTCTTCTTCATCTTTCTGACACACTACTAAGTACTCTTCTCACTCTGCCCTAATTAAAGTATCTCCTTAGCCAAGCTTCTTTCCTGACTAGCAGTGAAGCGCACTTATACATCAAAACATCCACTAATGACATGTATTCCCCACATAGCATGCATTGTAAAAACATCATATGATACAAAAGTTATATTTGTGTATACTCTTATTATATAGTGTTGTCTCCTAAAGACTTTTCAACATCTCTTTGGAGGGCCAAGACCACTTGTTTGGTGACCTTTCACCAACCTGGTTTTACATCATTGCATAGCTCTTGACCATTGCTTCACAGAATCTCACATCTTATATAGAGCAGATTACCTCCATTCACTACACGACACACTTTGCAGATATCTTATATATAACTACTTAGCTTTTGCTCTGTACATACCGGGTTTTGTTTAGAGAGTCTGGATCGCCTACACTACTCATGTAAGAGAATTGATGGCAGGTCTAGCTAAAGGCAGCTGATTTCCTTAAAGAAAGGTGGGCACGCATTTAATGGAAAACTAGTGGAAAGAAATTTAGCAAATTTCAATACGCTGGCTATGATCTCCTACTCCTCTAAGGTGAGCAGACATCAGGCGTTTACTACCTGGTACGCAATTTTCATAGAGAGCCAAGCCGTAGTTCTCATACAACATGCATGCAATCACTGCTTATCATCATTTCCTAGACATCATCTCCCTACATCCAACATCAGCAACAGTTCATGACACTTCTTAGACAGAATCTCTGCCTCCGCATTATGATTTACTGTGGAAAAATATATATAATGCCGATTCTATCTGTTATTCTTATAACAATTTGGCAAACATTTAGACAATGCCCAAAATTCCTCAAAAAAAAAATCCAAAAATAAATGCTAAATCGACTTAGATAAAATCTGAACTAACATGATCTAAATCATTTCAGATCGCACGAAAAAAGATAAAAAAAAAACACCTTCGAAACAGAAACGACTTGAATCAATCTCACTCAATCCACTGAACAAGAAATAAACAAAAAATAAAAATAACAAGATCAACAACTCACCGAAGTAATAAACCGTTGAAGAGAACGAAGGAGAAGATATCAAAAAATTCGTGCAAGGCCCGAAAGAGAGAGAGGAGGAGGGGCGGAGAGCACAGAGGCGCGATTCAGCCCTAATTTTGAGTAGAGAGAGTTCGCCAGGTCACTGCGTCGCCGGGCATTGGACATAATCCAAACACCATTGATTTCGGACGAACTTCAAAGGTTGTGTCACGTGAAACTTTTTTTTTTATGTCACAAAATTTATTGCAGAAATTAATAATATTCAAATAACCTTCATAATGATTCCAAATAGCATTTCAATAATTGAAGGTTATTAAGAGATTATTTGTAGGTTATTAAGAGGTTATTGAAGATATTAAACCCAATAATATCTCAATAACCTCTCAATAATCTACCAATACATTCTGCAATTCGGCGCTCTTCTTTTTTCTGTCATTCGAGAGTTTTGTGAGGTTATTAAGGGCATTAACTCCAATAACAGTGATATAACCCTCAATACCCTCCAAATAATCTTCATATGCACTCAATTTTGCGTGCGTATGACGTATATAAATATTTTTAGAACACGAGAGGAACTGTAAGCATTTCTTACAATTTATTATAAGAAATGTCAAATAAAATTATGATCTCATCACACCACTACCTCAAAGGAACCTTTAGACTTTCTAGTGAATTATTTATTAGTCTCCTGTGGGAATAAATCTTCCATAAAAGCATAATAAACCAACAAAAATTAATTGTCTACTTGTAAGATAAAAAATTTACATGAAATTATTGGAGTAATTGAGAAAAAGTCGACTTGAGAAATGGCTCGAACGTGAAATGATAAATGAATATTGAATCAAGCTCAATAAACTAACAAGTCAAGCTTTAGTTAACCCCAACTCTACACATTAACACATGAGTTAGCACATTTAGAAAATAGTACTACGTAATATGCTTAAAAATGATAGTGTTCAACAATTTTAGTACAACGATGTTGAAATTTTGTTATTTTATATTTAAATTACCTCTATAAATAATTTCTCGTTATTTTTCCTCTCTTTTTAATTAGTTTGATAATTTTAATATAGTAATTACTTCCATCAAAATTATGTAGCTTGTGTGTAGGAGGTCAAATGAGATTCACTAACAATGTTTGGCTATTTGGAGTTGTTCGTCGGAGCGTTATTCAATAATGTAAACATGTATGAAAGGTTTTTCATGAGAGTGTTACTCAATTACTTTAAGATGTACAAAAGAGATGTAAGAAAGTCCATTAAAGATGCTTGACCTATCTGAGGTTTTCTGTTAAAATATTAACCTGCATGGAAGAGCATAAAGGAAATCCATCAAGAATTTTTTACCTATCTAAGGTTATTTGTGGGAGTGTTACTCTGCGACATTAACTTGTATGGCAGACGTCGTATCAAAACCACCTGAGATTGATTCTACCCTGATTAAGAAGAGACCCCTATTTCATGGAACTTGACTCAAATGTAAAGTTAGTTTGAATTTAAATAATTTTAACCATTTTTAGGTCCTAGCTACTTTCTTTTTTAGGGAGCAGAAGTCCAGCTAAGGACTATATGTAGAGCTTAAAATGTTTTAATAGAACATGTTGTACTTGTTAAAAAGCTTGAGAGAGATGATTTGTAATAATATTATTCTAGATGCAGAGGATTGGTTTTGTTGTGATCATGTCTAAGATGTTGACGTTATTAACCTTTTAAGGTTTTATTGAATGTTTTCCCTTAGGTTGAAATTAGTTCTTATGGACTTATTATCCAAGCAGAAGGCAAATGGACCATCTAAGCACAACAATGCTCGAAACTTTGACATGCATGACTTTTTTGAGGTTGTAGTGAATGCTGCTCCTCAACCTATAATTATTTATCTTAAACTTTATATCCAAGTGAAAGACAAAGTGAATATCTAATCATAACTATGCTTAGGGTGTTGACATAAATGATCTTTCGAGTTTACTTGGAATGGTGCCCCCCAACTTAGAATTTTTTTTTTCTCATTGACTTGATATCAAAGTGAAAAACAAAGGGGTACCTAATCACAAAAATGCCTAAGATATTAACTTGAACGACATTTAGAGGTTGCAGCGAATGTTGCTCTAATCTAAAATTGATTCTTATAGGCTTAACTTATGCCCATGATGTTGGTGTGTACTCCTTCTTTGGTTAAAGCTCATTTTACTGGTTTGGAGGCCTAGGACGAAGATTGTAGCTCCTCTGCTACTTGAACATCTTTCATTGTGAGGCATGATTAATAACACTGGGGTTACTCTTACGCTTATCCGTGAATGACTTAAATTACTCAATGCGTGCATTTATAGCCTTATTCGCATGGTTTGAGCTTTAACATGGTGAATCAGGTGAGTATAAGGGTAGACAGTTTCTCAGATTAATAAAGAGCAGAAGGGTTACAGGTAAAGCCCTCCAAGAAAAACCCCATAAGTAATTCATGATCCATCTATAGAATCTGACGGGCTTCAATAAAAAGACTTTGGAAGTATTCCTTAACTGATTATCCCTCATTTTGATGAAATCCTCAAAGATGAGATGAGATGAAACTTTGAAAATCTTTTGATCTGCTATGAACTGCTTAATAAAGAGTCGGACGAGTTCATTAAAGGTGTGGAGAGTCCTCATTGGGAGAGAGTAGAATCAAGTGTGAGCTCAGTCTTTGAGAGTGGTCTGATAAGTCTTTGAGAGTGGTAAATCTCAACAAAATGTGCATTAGAAGTCCACTAGATTTGCATGATGGTTCAATAATGGTGATGTGTTCATAAGGGTCTGATATCTCATCATAAAATTCAATATTCGAGAGCTTCAAGCCTGTTGGATGGCATGTTGGAGGACTGTCTCGACCATGGGAGAAGAATTTTAAAAATCGTGATGAGTAGAGAAATATTCTTTATCCCTTTGAGAAAAATCTTCTCAAACCAGACATCGTAGCTCATTAAAAATACATTATTGGGAGCATCTAAGCGTAGTTGAGCCAAGTTTCTTGCGAGCATCGGAGGCTTATCGGTCGCGCTAGCTGCAAGAGATGATAAGTTGAACTTGCATTATTGAGCAAATCGACATCATGGCCTGCCGAAGGAGGAATCTCATCATAACAGGGAGGGGGCCTAGTACGAGTATTTTTAACTTGAGGATTCTCTATAGGTTGTTGACCTAGTGGCAAGTAGATCTTATATGGTTGTACGAACATCAATTGTCGACCCTCACATAAGAGCTAAAAAATCTTATGTTGACACTTCTCCATTCTGCACACTCGATCTTATAAAGATGAGCTTGAGGTTCCCTCACCAACAGGATAACATCTTTCATAGAGGGAAAAACATGTTTGATTTCTCTGACTCCATGATTGTCACTTGAAGTGTGGGTGTTAAAACAAAATACTCCATTATTACGAGTATTACGTTTGTTGACCATTTCACAAGTTTTATAAGTTATTCTATGATGAGATTATTTTTTCTACATATGGTGCAAAACTGTTTCGTGCTAGTAGATTTGTGGTTGTATGATGATATATCAACATCTTAGTGTTATAGGAAGTTTTGGCACACACAAAGAAAAATGTCATAAAAGCATCAAAGAGTATTTATGTAAAAAACCAGAAGATAAAAAAATCACTAAATCTAGCTCAGTTGAAATGCTTACACTATGTCGATGTGTAATACAAAACTTTAACAGGCCCCTTTGTATGGTCAAAATTTTATTCTATGAGTGGGATGTAACTTTTACTCAGGAAGTGGAAAAAAGCACATAGGACTCGACTAATATGAAGAAAATCCAACGATAGAGGTCGAGTATTAGAAAGTCTGATGCCATGGTAATTGTCGGTTAGTAGAGGCCAAATGGTAACCCGACAGCGACGACTGTGGTCTGATGTTGACAACGACGGAGGCGAGAAACTATGGTTTGATAGCAACAATAATCAAATAATCGTGGTCTGGTGGCATTGAAAGTGTTTTGCGGCCAAACGACAGTGGCCAAGCAGCGGTGATCCGGTGGTGGTAATGGTGAGACGATGGTGGTATGATGGTAACTATAGTGGTATTTTGGCGGTGGTGGTTAAACATTGATGACAGGGTAACAGTGATCCGGTTGTGGCGACGACTCGATGACCAGCAACAAAAGATGGTGGTTGGGCAACGACGATGGTGGTCTGATAGTTGCAAGGGCTAGTTGACGGTGTTTCAAAGTTGTTGGAGTTCATGAACCCTCTAGAGCTTGAAGCTTCTTCAGCTTTCTCTTCAAGTTATAGATTTTGTGAGTGATATACTTTGTAAATATTGCATGAATCTAGACCACTCCAGCAAACGGTCCAGAGCGATCCCGTTAATTGGATTATATTTTACGAGCAACTAAACACATTAATGATGTCAAAATTAATTGATCTTATACTCATTATATTTGGCTTATCGAGATACTCAATTTGACTATAAAAAAAGTTAGAATTGAAGTTATTTGGTCTTCTAAATATATTTCAAAACTCCTAACTATAATTTAATTGCAAGATCTAAGCCCACTCGAACTCTGGTATGGTCGCTGTTTAAGTCATCTGGTTTGTCTCCCTGAGTTCCTTCTCTGGATCAAAAATCACAGTGCAGGCAGACTTCTCCCATTTAAATTTTGAAGCTTTTAATTAAAATATATGCCAAGATTCGTGCTAATCAATATAATTATTTAAGGACGTATCAAAATCCAATATTTAAATATTTATATTTATATAAATGCACTTAAACCCTTAATATGGATAAGTTTATGATATTAAATGTTATAAATATGAGAGGCATTTGAACCCAATTAATGTATTTTTTATCTAACACCTAAATTTTATTTTTTACAATTATACCAACTAAATATTTCATATCACAACAAATATATCGCTATTTTAGCTTTTTCTTAGAAAAATTGAAATGCAATTTTTCATCATAGGTAAAGTTGTATTTATGTAAAAATTAAAATATATGAGTTACAAATGTGAATATATAGAAATTATATGGTTGGTGAGCATGTATAGAAATTATATCTTAATGTGAATATATAGAAATTATATCTTAATAAATATAAATAAAAAATTAAAATATTAGTTACATAAATAGATTAAAAATTATATGGTTTGCAGTAATTTTGTTTTTCAGTAAACTGAGGTTGCTTTTGACTTTCTTCCTTCCCTTCCACCGGCTGACATCCGATTCAGACTTCAAACTAATTTTCTGTTTTCCGGCGATAATTTCGTAAAGGTCTGTGATATATCCCAGCGGGCTTCCATGGCTGCGCCGGGGACGAACAGGAAGATCTCCGCTGCGTCAGCGAGGGCTCACACCCGAAAGAAGCAGAAGGGATCATCCTTCGTCATCATAAGTGGTGGGTTGCTCCCTCCTCTTTGACTGATCTTCTGTGCAGGGATGATTTTGTTATGGCCCGAGAAGAAAGTTTTCAGATTAGTTTTATCGCATTTTATTTGTGAATTCCATGTTGGTCGACTAATTTTATCTCTGTAAGAGAGTAGCGATTTGGGCTAATCGACAAGAAAAGAAATGAGAAGAGGCAGCTTCTTTTTTATCTTAATTAGGGTTTGAGGAGAGATGATTAAGCTCGGATTGAGAGGGAATTAGCTTTCAGTCATTTATTAGATCAAGCCGAGTTTGTACATTTTTAAGATTTTTCTTAGCGTCATTTGGTTGATTGGGGTCAGAAAATATGTTTTGAAAAACCACGAGTTTACTAGATTCTATCATTTGATTGGTTGTAGTATGAATTTAGCATGCATTTTAAATGACACAGAGACTTTCAACATCCCTAAAAAATAAAACGAGGGTTTTAATTCCGTCCTCAAGACGACTGAACATAACATTATCACAATCAACCAAAGCATCCCTTTTGTAAATTCTTTTCTCACTCCCTTTAGTTTCTTAGGAAGTTTACATACATACCACTCAATTCTTTCTTATGTATTTATATTTACATATCTAGCACCTAAACTTCTATTTTTCCATAGATTCCTCCTTACCTGTGCATGAAAAGGTGAAAGGTATTTCACGTTTTAAAAGTTAAAATATTGGTATTTTAGATGTGATATTAAATATTTGTGTGATACAAATGTGATAAGCAAAGTTTAGGCGTTAGATATGCAAATACATTAGAATTTGGTGGTATATATGTAAAGAGTAAAGTGCCGAAATAGTCCCCTCACTATTTGCATGGAGTCATTTTAATTCCAAAGTAAATGAAAGGGCCAAAATAGTCCCCTAAATATTTACATTGAGTCATTTTAATCCAAGTGTAAATGAAAGTATCAAATTAGTCCCCTTTCTTTTTTAATATAAGTTAAAATGGTTCTCAAAAAGGACTATTTTTGCCTCTGTCAAAAAAGTATGCGGACTAAATTGACACTTCTATAGAATCTGGAAAAAATTTTCAATACGAAGTGCGGACTCCAGTAATATGCCGTCACGTGTGCTACACCGGGCCTACCTCATAAAATATTTAAAAAATAAAATTTTTACACCTAACTAGGCCCGAACCTTTTCGAAGTGAAACCGCAGAGTTTATTGGAGCAATTCACCGTGCGGTGTTATTGGGAGGTTATTGAGGTGTTATTGAAACAGTTATTGAAATTGTTTTGCGGGGGTTATTGAAATTTTATTGAAGGGTTATTATGACGTTATTGGGGGCTTATTAGATTTGTTCTGCGGGGGCTATTGAAGTGGAACTGCAGATGTTATTAGGGTTCACTTATTGGGGGTTATTGCTGCATTATTATATTTAATACCTCAATAACATCGAAATAATACAAAAAAAACCCCTAAATAACACTGAATTTGATAGATTTGAACCGAATTATCAACTTCAAGAATATGTTATGCTATATGAGCATACTTCAACGATACTTCTTAGAAATCATTGATAAAATTACAAAATATATAAAAAGTTTTTATTCATGTTTGAAATTTATAACACTTAAATAATATCATCATAACACCTACAAGACATTACCATTAACTGAGGTGTTTTTGAAAATCAAATTCGGTGTTATTTCGTGGTTATTGAGAATATTATTTCTATGTTATTGGAGTATTAAATCTAATAACAATGCAATGATCCCTGGTGAACCACTCCTATAACCTCCACTGTTCCTCTTCAATAACCCCATAAAACAACTCAAATAAGTCCCCAATAACGCCACAATAACCCTTCAATAATCCCCACATATCAATTCCAATAATTGCTTCAATAACGCCACAATAACGCCCCATAAACCCTAAACACCAGGAATAACACCAAAATAACTCAAAATTAATAACACCATTGAACACCACAATAAATAAAACATAGCACCAAGAATAACACCACATTAACATAAAAAATTTGTAATAATAACTCCAAAATATCTTCATAATAACACCTCAGTAAAAGCTAAAACATAAATCTCTTAGTAACAATTAAATAACACAACAATAACACTTAATTAATACCATCATAACACCTAAAAAACAACACATATTGTCTTGTAGGTGTTATGATTATATTATTTAAGTGTTATATATTTCAAACATAGATGAAAGTCTTTTATATGTTTTGTAATTTTATCAATTATTTCTAAGAATTACCTTTAAAGTATGTTCAAATAGCATAACATATTGTTGAAGTTGATGATTCAGTTCAAATCTATCAAATTCGATGTTATTTCGGGGTTATTGGGACATTATTTCGGTGTTATTGGGGTATTAACTTAATAACGCTGCAATAATCCTCCAATAACACTGCGCA